TGGTCAACACTCGCCTTGGTTGGATTCAGGCCGCAAACTGGCTCGGCTACGGAGGCAGCGGCTCAGACGCCGCTCAGGTGTCTCAGCCTCATCTGCAAGCAGCTCTGAGCTGGTTCTCTGCACACACAGTTCAGATGTCGACCAGAGACTGGGGAGAAGTTTACACGGAGAACATGGGACCACCTCTTCTCCGGCTCGCTTCTCTCTGGGACTCTCCGCTCACTTTAACAGCCGTGGACACGAAGGGCCGCGTCCTCTGATTTCTCAAACCAGAGAGGCTGCCCCTCCTAACAGAGCATCAGGTGACTTACACCACACCACCTCCATGGTCCAAAGCTTGCAACTTTCTGCTTCCACACAAAACCTGCCCACCTGTGTTCATGCTCCAGAGCTTTCAGGGGGCTGTTTCTATTGGTTTGGGTTTGAGGATGAGGGGACTGGATTCTGTCCAGACTTTATGAGCTTACTTGTACCACATCCTCCAACCTCAAATTTCATACCTCAGGCAAACTACTGTCTAGCTGTACAGTTAAAGCCATTTTCAAATAGACAATGTCTCAAAAAAAATCATCTCCCAAACTTCTTTTATTTCAAAAGTACTAGAGACTGTCCTCTAACCAAAAAATGAGGTTCTGAATCAAATACATATACATACATGGGGTCCAGGATTCAGAAGACCCAAGAGAGGGCAGAATCGGGAATCCTGAGGGTGACTGATGGGGGCCCAGGCCAAGTGTACACAGAAGCCACATTGTTAAAGAAGTCTGCGGGAGTGGTTTCGTCAAGGCGGCAGACCTCACACCCGATGTCCCGGGTTCTGAAAAGAGATTTATGTAGTTAAGGAAGTGTTTGGATGTGAATTACTGTCAAGCACACAGAAAATTAAACCAGTATAAAGACACCAGAAAATCATCTCACTCCAGGGAAAACAAAATGCGCTGGAAAAGACAAAGCGATCGCAGCATGCTGTGTGGTTCACCTGTGAACAGACCACACGCTGACCTCCAGCCCCTAACTTGTGTCCGACGCTTTTGCGACCCCGCGGACCGTTGCCCGCCAGGTTCCTCTGTTCATGGGGTTTCCCAGGCGAGTATACTGCAGTGGAGTTGCCATTTCCTCCTCCAGGGGACCTTCCCAGCCCGGAGATCGAACCCTCACCTCCTACATTGGCAAGCAGGTTACTTTACCACTGAGCCACCTGGGAAGCTAACTAATAGTCAGGATGTAAACGCTTCATTTGATTGGTTGAAACTCCCATGTAACCGTCACCAGAGGGCAGAAGTCCTGGGGAAGTGGGGGGATGAAGAATTCTCCACGGAGGGTGACTTTGACCTCCCAGAGGACAAGGCATTCTTGGTTGTCACAGCTGGTGGAGTTGGGGGCAGGGGGCGGAATTGCTGGATCTCGTGGACACAGTGAAGGAGGCCGCTAAACACCGTTCGGTGCCCACCCGAATAAAGAATTAATTGGTCCACAATTGCAATAGTGCCACAGCTAAGAGAGCAGAGCTAAATCATCGTTTCCAGTGGCGGCGCATCAGCAGATGATATTGAGAGCATCAAGGAGGAGAAATGTAAGCCTGGTCAGAGCTGCAGCGACGGGCGCAGAGAGAATTGGCGCAAGGCTTTGGGGAGAGGTGGGGCGGGGTGGTGTGGTCCTGTTGGCTTTGTAACAAAAGCCTTACAGAAGTCTGCCTCTAAACCATGTACACGTGCAACCTGGATACTTAAGTGGAGGAAGAGTTACTTAGAAAGATGCACACGTGTGGAAAGGCAGGCAGAAGTTTCCTGAACCCCGGGTGGTGGCCAGGCTGGTGGCGCTGCCTCTGCCAAGATGTGACTCCATCAGTCGCACCGTCTTGTATGTGAGAACTGCGTACGAAGAGAATGGTATGCTTCTTACCAGTTAGCGAGATCTGTGATTTGTGAGTAGCTTCTCTCTGCTCCAAGGCTGGAGGATCTGGTGTAGCCTGTGAATGTGGCGGGTGGTGAAGGCGCACGCCTCCTGGTGGCAGCATGCCAGAATTGCAAGCTTGGTGTGGTTTTATTTCTTGTTAACATTTTCGAGGGTCAGTGCAGTTCAGGCTGGGCTTCACTCGTGGCTCAAGTGGTGAGGAATCTGCCTGCAGTGCACGAGACCCAGGTCTGATCCCTGGGCTGGGATGCCAGCCCGGACAACTGAGGAAACAGCAAGCACTTAACCCACTCATCCTGTCACCACACGAACAATTTGCGGCTCTCAGGATGGTGGCTGGCTCCGAAGTCCCGTTCTGGCTGAACTGAAGCTTCAGCTTGTTTGAGGCTGGGAAACCGAAGCCCTCCTGTCCCTCTGCAGTGGGAGGCTAGAGCAGCCTGTTCCCATCCTGCCTGATGGTCCCAGGCTTGCTGATTCCAGGCTGAGCTGTTGGCGCCAGTGCCTCTGCCTGCTCAGAGGGGGGCTGTGTGCTTGCATCACGGCACAGCCTCCTGGCCCTGTGTGCTGTTAGTGTTAGCGCGCTCAGCTGAACACCAGCTGCCGACCCACAGAGGCCCCCACCCTGCCCACAGCTGTGACCTCGGTGCGTTTCTAGCTGTTACGGCCAGACTCTATCCAAAGCTTACTACCTCACAAACCCGGGTGAGAGCTTAAGTTGGGTGGGGTTGCGGAGAGCTAGAAGGGGAGAGGAAAGTGTGCGGGGTCGCAGCCAGGGTGGGGTCTGCGGTGGGGGCTGTGAGAAGCCGGCCCTCCTGTCACACTGCCCTTGGCGGGTCCTCGAGGCCCACCCCGTGGCTGCCCTGACTCGGCACGGACAGCAGGCGGTGGTCCCGCCCCTGACCCACCCGGCGAGCAGCTCCCAGTCCCGCACTTCCCGCGTCCTCACGGAACCTCATGCGGGGGCCCCAGACCTGACCCTGGTCTCCCCGCCGCTCCCGCCTCCCTTGGGGGCCCTGCTGCCCACGTTGCCAGCCCAGGCTCTGCCCTCTCTGCTTCCGCTCTTGGCCCCAGCCCACCGCCCATCCGGAGCAGCGGGTCCTCCCGGAAGGTGGATCAGCCACGTCACTCTCGCGCCCGAAGCCTCATGTTCTCAGCCGGCTCTCCAGGCCCCGCTGGGTGGGCCTTGGGCCGCTCAGAACCTCGGCGTTCCCTCTGCCCGCTCCCCGGCTGGTTCGCCCAGCTCTGTGCCCCCGCCATCTCGCCAGCCCGCACTAGGCCTCTGTCCACGACCCTCCCTACGCTGCCCCCCATGATGCCTTCGCCCAGGAGCCTGCCCCCTCTTGCCCGGCCCTCTTCCCCGGGGGGCGCTCCGCACAGCTGAGAGGACTCTGTTTGCTGGCTCACGTGCTGTTCGGCTCCCCCATTAAAATGTAAGCCCCCAGCAGGCGGGGACGGACCGTCCGCCTGGACCTCCCCATCCCTCCTTCCTGGGTTTAGTGGCCGTCAGAGCTAGAGTGAGGGTTGGAATGAATCTGGAGCCTGTGGGGGAGACGTGGAGGGCTGAGCAGGATTCTGGGCCCGTGTCCCGGCGTCTGCAGTCCCGCCAAGGCGGGCCGTGTGCTTCCGCCCAGGGAAGCCTGGGGACGGCGGTCTCCTCTCCCAGTCAAACCCTCCGTCACCCTCTCCTTCCCGTGAGCTTCTTCCTGAGATCATCTGGTTTCCTAGTCACCCTGAGAAAACCGGTGAGAAACAGTGGCTGGGAGCCACCTCGCAAAGAGACGGCAGCCGCCCCCGTCGGCCCCCCAGAGGGAGGCTGCACCCCCAGGGCAGGGGAGAGGGACCGGCTGTCCCGTGGGCCTGTCCAGGCCTGAAGGGGATCTGGGGTTAAGCAGGGCGAGCTGGCCTGGAAGAGGCCCGCTTGTGCCCCCTGGTCGTCAGGGCCGGGCACCTAGGGTGTCTGTTGCGTCTGCGAAGACGCACCACGCTTGTGAACCTGTGACTGACCGTGTTTAAGGAATCCGCAGCCGGCCGAGAAGTGCAGCTAGACGGGGCCGGGATGTCGTGCGCTGCTCATTCCCTGGTCACCTGGGCAGTGCTCAGAGTGGCCACGGGTTTCACCCTCCATGCCCAATGCTCACACCAGGAGCTGTGGAGGAGGGGACTGCAGGGGGCAGGGCCCACCTGGGTGGCGTGTCGGTGCCGGGGGCGTGAGGGAGGGAGCCAGGCTGGAGCCCTGGAGCCTGAACCCTGGAGATCAGGGGAGGTAGCTCAGGGGGAGCTCAGCCCCCCGACTCTGAGCCAGGTCCGCCTTCCTCTCGGTGGTGGGCTCGGGAGAGGTGGAGGGTGGTGGGCACGGGGGCCTGCAGCCTGGCTGAGCCCTCGGAGGTGCCCAGGGCAGGGGCCTCAGGCCCCACCAGCCCACCGGACATCACTGGGGTCCTGTCTACCTTCATGCCGCGAGCGCCATCCCAGTAGGGATGGATGGGAGTCAGAGGGCAAGGACAGGCCGTGATCAGCACCAGGAGCCCCCGGCCGAGGGCCCGCACGGACGGCGTGTCGGCCGAGGTCCTGGTGACCCTAGCGCCATGGTCCTGGGAGCGGTTGTCCCTCCCATGAGCAGAGGGACCCAGCGGCCTTAGCACCTCGCCAGCCAAGCTGTCTGTCTTTTCCGGCCTCTGGACCAGAGAGGAAGGAGGGAGTGCCCGGAGGGAACAGGGGTGTCTGGGCGAGGGACGAGGCGGCCAAGTGTCGTGTTCCCTCCTAACCATGCATGTGGAAGGCCCGCCGGGCAGGGAGCCTGCGCTGGGCTTTGGCGCGAAGCTGGCCGCCCAGCAACTGCTCCTGGATCTGCCCAGGTGGACAGCTCCGGGGCTCAGGCCGCTCAGGAGGCGGTCCTGTACCCCCGGCAGCTGCGGGGACATTCACTCTCGGGAAGCAGCCCTGGCCGGCGCCTGGCTGGAGGCCCGGCCTCCCCCTCCCGGTTTCCCCGAGGACCCCCCTCCCTCCCACAGGGCCCGCCCGCGTGTGACCCCTCCAGCTGGGCGCCGCGTTCTCCCGAGCTCACCGCCCGCCTCCTCTTCCCGCAGGTGAACAACGAGAACGTCGTCAAGGTCGGCCACCGGCAGGTGGTGACCATGATCCGCCAGGGCGGGAACCACTTGGTCCTCAAGGTGGTCACGGTCACCAGGAGTCTGGACCCGGATGACACCGCCCGGAAGAAAGGTGCCCGCCCCCAGCCTGCCGGCCCCCAGCCTGCCCCAGCCCCCAGCCTGCCCCAGCCCCAAGCCTGCCCCAGCCCCAAGCCTGCCCCACCCCCAGCATGCCCGGCCCCCCACCCCAGCCTGCCTGAGTGGGGGGGACATCCCGTCTCTCGCCCTCTGCAGGGCTCCCAGTCCCCCACTGAGAGCAGGAAACCTGTGGGAAAGGGCGCTTAGGAGGTCAGGGCCGCCCCAGCCTCAGGCCAGGCTGTGCTCAGCAGACACACTGGGGGGCTTGGGGCTCCGGCTCCAGACTCTTGGATCGGCCCTGCAGCAGCTCACGGCCTAGGCCAGGGGGAAGCAGAGGTCCGAGGGCCCACCCCGCCTCCCCAAGAGCAGTCACAGCTGGGGGAGACCGGGCCTGAGTGAGGCCTGCAGAGGGGCGCCAGGAGCAGGCCAGACGCACCCCCTTAGAAAGGAGGCTGGAGACGCATGTGAGAACTTCCAGCGCTTCCCGTGACCACCCCCGGCTCCCCCCCTGGGGGCGAGGCCCCGCCTGAGCCTCCCCGGCAGGTCAAGGGCCTCCTGACCGTCCTGGAAGGGTGCGCGAGGGCGGCGTCCCGGGCCGGCTCTCACCTCCATCTCCCCCGCCCGCCCCCAGCTCCTCCGCCTCCGAAGCGCGCTCCAACCACGGCCCTCACCCTTCGATCCAAGTCCATGACCTCGGAATTGGAGGAGCTCGGTGAGTGCCCATGGGCTGGCCTCGCAGAGCCACAGCCTGTGCGTGCCCCCGCTTGCCCGCTTGCCCCTCTCCCAGCCCCAGCGCCCAGGAGGCTGTCAGGAAGCCCCCCGGAGCGCGGGTCTCCGCGCTGGCCCCCTGCGCCCCTCCTGGGCTCGGGGGAGCTGCACCGTTGGGCCTCCTCTCTCTTGGTTCGTCTAATATTGTTCTGTTTTGAATTTTGGGGCCTCTCACTAGTGGATAAAGGTAAGCAGACCCCTGCGGTCTAGGGTGCCCGCGAGATCTTTCCTCTCGCGCATGGCTTGGTCCAGAAGGCCGTGGCCCCAGCTGAGGGTGGGCGCAGACAGCAGTGGGCTGGCGGGCTGCAGGCCAGGGCACGGGGCTTGCTGGGGCCTTCTCGAGGGGACTGCAAGAGACAGAGGGCTGTGGCCGCTGGGCCCCGGGGCGTGGCCTGGGGAGGGCGCGCAGAGCCACGTGGGCCCCGGGCCTGGCGGCCGCGTGGCTCATGACAAGGATGCAACCTGCTGCTGGTGAGCTGCCATCCTGGGCAGTCACCGTGGCTCAGAGACACGGCCTCCAGGAGGCTGCTCTGACCACACAGGAGCGGCCAGCGGGCTGATGGCTCGCTTGGCTGAGAGGGCTCGGTGGGCAGGGAAGAAGCGTAGCATCTGTGACTCGGCGCAGGGCAGGTTCCAGGGGCACGAAACCAGCCCTGGGCCCCGGAGCCGGTCCCCGCAGGCCCAGCCCGTCCGGGGAGCGGAGTCTGAGCACACTCGCTGGTCTGGGACTCTGGGCGCTCCGATCGGGCCCCGGCCTTAAGGGGGAGACCTTTGGGCCCTTCTGTCCAGAAGGACACAGTGGCCTCTCCCGCTTTGCGGCTCCTCTGACAGGGTCTCCCGGGGCCCGGGCCGGCCCCTGTGAGCGGCCCTTGCCCGTCGCCACATGCTGGGGCTACACCTGCAGCTGGGTTGAAGGCCTAGGTCTTCTAGAAAGTGGCAGCCCTGCCGTGGGGCCTCCCACCCCTCACCCGGAGCCCCCTTCCTCCAGCCCCTTCTGGACCACAGCTTGTCTGTCCAGACAAGACTCCAGAAACCAGCCCCCTGCACCCAGGCCTGGCCCAGCCCCCCGCGAGGGGCAGCAGTGTGACTGTCCACGGGAGCTTCCCTAAAGCCGGGTGGCGTTTGCCACGAGGGCTCCCCCGGAGGACCCAGGCAGGTCACCTCTCGGGGGGCTCCAGCTGCGTCAGCCCAGGGCTGAGGGTCCTTCCTGAGAGCCGCCTCGGCGCATGCCGCCCACCACTGCAGGGGGAAGGGGGACAGGGGCCGTAAGAGGAGAAGCCCTGTCCCCCGCGGACAGGGCAGCCCCCAGGTCCCAGGAGAGCGGACTGCGCCCCCTCGCCCGCCTGCATCTGCCTCGGACCGCGGGGCCCCCGTGGTGGGATGGGGGGTCATCAGGCCCCCAGCGAGGGAGCCCAACCCAGACCCCAGGAAGCACTGCCCCCGCCCCCGCCACCCTGGGACTCACACTGCCCTTTCTGTTTGCAAGCCTCCGTCCGGAAGAAGAAGGGTAAGGGGCGAGCCCACCCCCCGTGGCCCTCAGTCATGTCCAGACTGTGTCGTGACCTGTACTGTCTCCTCCCTGCTCCGGGTCCTCGAGGGGTGCCCAGCCCGGGACGCGTCCCGTCTCAGTGTGACGTCCGCCCCGCCCCTCCCCGTCTGTGGTCGCCCAGCGTGTCTGCGTCTCCCCGAGTCGTGTCCACATCATCGACGTGTCCACCATCGTCCAGAGGGGCCTGTCTGGGTCAGGGCTGGGGGGCCTTCCCACGGGCGGGTGGTCAGGGTGGGGGCCAGCAGGGCCCCTGGCAAGCGGATCGCTGACGGCCCTTTGCTATGGGCAGGGACTGCTGCCCTTTAACTCCCAGAAACCCCTGTCCTCCGGGAAGCCTGCTCTCCACAGGCAGGAAGACTGCCCTAGAACTGGCAGGCCACACCGCTCCCTGCCCCCGACTGGCGGTGGCTCCACAGGGGACCCGGCCTCCGCTCTGTGAGCAGCGCCCCCCCCCCCCCCGGCAGCCAGGCCCCCGAGGACATGCCCGTCCCCAGCAGTCCCCACGGGCAGGCTGCTTCTCATCTGGTCGCTGGAGACTTAGAGGTGCAGAGGAGGGAGGGGAACTATCGCAGGCCACAAAGACACGATGCAGCACAAGAAACGCTGAGATGGTTCGGGGGGGGCAGTCCTTGGAGTCCGGCGGGACCGCATCTGGGGTCTCCGGTCCAGGAGCACCAGGGCGCACCTCTCTCACCCACAGTCTCCCAAGGCAGGCCGTCCCTGACAGCCTCTCTCTGCAGCGGTCCTGGGCCTCCACCCCCCCACCCCGCTCGGAGATTCCCCATGGGCTTTCCAGGTTCCATCGCCCTCTTGACTGTAGGGCGGGCGCCCAGGGCACGGGAAGTTCCCTGGGGTCACCTTACCCTCTGAACCCACTTCAGGCCAAGGCCAAGGCCAAGCCCAGCCAGCATGAACCGCTGTGTCTGCCCACCACGCCTTCCAGAAGAGGCCCCGCACCTGGGCCGCGGGGGCCCGTGGCCGTCGTTGGGCTGGGGGGCAGGGCTGCCGCCAGGAGGAGCAGCTCAGACTCAGGCTGGCCCGGCCTCGGGGCACGTGCGGCCTGCCCCCACCCACCCCAGGGGCCCCGCAGCCAAACACCCTGGACTGCAACGACGACAGAAGTCGTGTCCCGCGCGGCCTGCCTGGGCCGGGGCAGAGGCACACAGAGGACACGCAGGACTCCTGGAGAGGGGGCCCACCTTCCTTGCACAGTGGAGAAAGTTGGATGTGAATTTGAATTTGACCTTAGATGCCCCCATTCAGTCCTTGAGGAATCTTCCGAGGACCTGCTCTGTCCCCAGAGGTTGTCTTCATGGCCACTGCGGGGGAGCCAGGGCCACCGTGAGGGCCACACGGGGCCAGGGAGGCTCCAAGCAGAAGCCAGAGGGGCGGGGCCTGCTTTACCGCTGCTTCTGGGCCGGGGAGGGTCAGAGCGCCCCGCCCCACCCCTGGCACGCCCACACGGCCTCTCCTGGGAATATTAAAGAGATGGGCAGCTGGCCAACAGCTGCCGCTTCACCAGGAGCGGCCTGTCTGTGCCATCCGGTGCCATCGATGCTCAGCTTCCTCGGAAATTGTGTCGTGGAGGAAACCCTGAGTGTGTGCCCTCTCACCCCGAAACAGGGCGAGGCTGGCCCCGCCCCCCTCCCTGAGGGCCCGGCAGGACCCCCTGTTCAAGGTCACAAGGAGGGACAGGCTTCCTGGAGGTCCCCGAGAGTAGGATGCATTTTGTGAAACGACCGCCCGAAATGCTCCAGTACCCGAGAGTCCGAATCCCAGCGGGGCCAGGCATTTCCGGAGCAGCTGGGGGCACCCTCCCGATGGTTCTGAGGAGCGGGGCTGCTGGATCCAGCCCGGAATGTGGGCCCAGGGATGGGGGGTGTCTGCAGTGGGCGGGCACCCCGTTTCCCCCGGGGGAGACTAGGCCACCAGTGCACGGCGTCAGCCTGGCTTCAGCTTCCGCTCCTTGCCCCAGCTTGGGGGGAGGTCATTCCACTCCTTGATTCGACGCCTCCCTCCTACAGACCAAGCCGGTGACGTCTGCCGAAGGACCTGGGGCTTCCCCAGCAGGAGAGCTCGGGCACACGGGCGACTCAGCCTGTGCTTGGGGGAGTGCTCGTGGGTGGGGGCTCGGGCCGGGCAGGAGCACCCCACTCGTGCTCTGGTCCCCGAGAGAGTCGGGGTGCCTGCGGCCTGCCCCGCATGCTTGCCATCTGCCCCCTCCTCCCAGCAAGTGTGCAGCCTGCGGCCAGTGGGCACCATGCCGTGTGTTTGCTTAGAAAATTAAAATACAGGGTTGCCTCCGGGGTGTTTGCATCAGCTTACTCCTAGATTGTTTTCCAGCCTGTCGGCAGGGTAGCCTTCGGCCTCAGAGTGCTTCACTGTAAGGCCGCAGGGCCTGGGCTGACTAATCTCAGCACCGACAGAAACCCAATCCCAGGCTTGCATAAACAAAGCAGAATAATCCTTGTGAGCCTGGAAGCAGGAACAAAAACCCGGTCTCACAGTGTTCCTGAAAAGCCTTTGTGGGCCAGTAAACAAGCCCTGCACCGCGGAGGCTGAGCCAGCTTGAGAAGAGGCCCAGAGGGGACCCGGGCCCCCAGGGGACAGAACCTGGGCCTGCCCTCTGCATCTGAATGGAAGAAACCACACTAACCACCCTCAGTGGGAAACAGAATAACAGCCCCCAACACAACCCCTGCAGAACAAGGTGCTCTCTTGTGTCCTGGCTCCAAAGACTTCATCGTAGGTGTCGTGAAGACCAGAGGGCCAAGGTTACACAAAGGCCGGGACCGTCCACATCAGGGTCACCGTGGCTCCAGGGATACGCCTCCAAATACACCCCAAGACCACCCATCCGGATGCAGTGTGGTGAGCAGGGTGCTGACTTCTCAATCAGCCTGACCAGGCAGGCCATTCCGACGGCAAACCTAGATTTCCACTGTCAGCCAGGGCTCTGCAAGCTCCCCGCTGGTCCCGGAGTTTCAGCGGCACAAAAGGCGTCAGCTCCTCAATTTCAGGCTGCAGGATGGGGACAGTCCCCCCTATAACAGGCTCTTGTTAAGATGAGAAACGGAATGAAGGCACCTCGAAGTCCCACCAGGGTCGCCTTTGCCTCCCCCGCGCACACCCATCGTCGAGGGTTTTTGGCAGTGCCTGCCACACGCCTGGGGCCCCAAGACCACGGTGTTCTGCTGGCTCGGTCCAGGCCTGCTTCCTGGCTTCCACTCCAGCCTGCTCAGTGGGGTAGACTGGCCCTGTGAGCTGGGCAAACCCCAGAAGTGGACTTGCGGGGCCCCACTAGGGACAGGAGGTCTCGAAGACCCAGCTGTATAACTCTCTATGTCAGGAGCCCCGTCCCATCCTCACAGGAGGCCCTGCAGGCTGCAGCCACTCAGCCTTGCCCTAACTCAGGGGCATCCCCTCCCCCGGGGGGAGGGCAGCCTGCCCAAGCTGCACAGGCTGAAGCTGAGGCTGGGCCCAAGAAGGCGGCCAGACCCCTGGACAGATGTCCCCACATGGGAGCTGGCCCTGACACCCCGCCATCCCTGGAGGAAGAGCCACACCCCGGCAGAAACAAGGCCGGCGGCCAGCGTGAGGGGCCTGGATTCCAGGGACGGGCCAGAGGGGCAGGAGGTGGGGGAGAGCCGCACAGCAACAAGGGAAAGCCCCACCCCAAGAGAAGCCCGGCCCAGGCTCGCTTCGCGGCGGAGGCGCACTGCTGGGACGGGGTGGGCGCAGGGGCTCGCGAGACAGGAGGGTTCCCGGCCCCGGGAATGCAGGCAGGGAAGAGCGCGGTGACCACAGCTGGGGGTCCCCACCAGACACGGATGCTTCCGACCAGCTCCCAAAGGGCAGACACTTGCTGGGTCTCGCACACCCACGGGGAAAAGGCCGGGAAAGCTGCGGGTCCCAGAGTGAGGAGGATCGGGGGGCATCCCCCCATGCTGCCGCCGCCTGGACCCCTCTGCCTTTCCAGGCCGGGCGCGCTGGCACTGTGTGACCCTGGTCCTGCTCCAGGACGGGGTCCTGAGAAGCCAGCGTCCTGCCCGTTGGCGGTGGGCGGGCCCTGGCGGGCCCCTCTTGTTGAAAGTGTGGGGAAACTTTTCCAGGGGCTGCGCTTCTCCTGGGCGGCCCCTGCTAAAGGCAGCTGCTGCAGCGTCTTGGGCCGGGCACCAGGGTGCCAGTCCTGTGACTCTCACGCTGGCCTCGCAGCTTGGGGTCTGCCAAGACCCCAGAAGCTTGAGCCTTTCTGACAGCATGAGCTTTGTGGGGAGTCACAGGACCCCAGGAGGGGTTGGGGTTCAGCTCGGAGAATACCTCAGGCTGTGGACAGAACGCTCTGGGGCTGCGAGGAAAGTGTGGTGCCTCACGGGGTCCCACCAGGCCCTCCTCACCCTGGCTTCCCACTCCCCAGGGGCGCCTCCCATTGCAGCAAACCAGGGTTCCCTTCCAGACGCTGGTGCCTGAATGCAGTCACCGGGTTCCCCCCCACCAAAAAAAAGTTTAAATTTACATTTTCAAATAATTTCTTAAGCTGTAAGCATCACTAATAACTGACCCTCGGCTTGCTTATTCACAAGCAACTAAGGCCTACTTTCTGGGGTGAGGGGGGACTTCCTGAGTGGTGGCTGCCTCCGCTCCCCAGCCCTGCCCCTGCCTACACCCACGCTGCCCAGTCGCCTCCATCCTTGGGTGCTGGGTCCTGAGACCCTAGCAAGTGCATTTACAGGGGAGCTGCACCGCTGAGCTGTTAGAAAGAGATTCACGACATTGACTTAGCTCCCGCCTCCCGGAATGAACAGCTCTAGTGTGAAGAAAGCAATGCCCCCGAGTCGCAGGGCCTTGGAGGCTGTGTTGCTGTTGGGAGGGTCTCCTCTCCCTCCTGTCCACATGCGGGCCGGGGGGCCGGGTCCTGTCAGTGTCCATGCTTGCGGCTGAAGCATGCGTGCGCCATACCACTTGCACAAGAAAAGCTTTCTTCAAACGCAAAAGGCACATGGGCACTTTTCTCACAGCCCCCTGCCCCATTGTGATGCCCGTCCTGACGGTCCTGCTCCCGTTGCAGATAAACCCGAGGAGATCGTCCCAGCCTCCAAGCCATCCCGGGCTGCCGAGAGCGTGGCGCTGGAGTCCAGGGTGGCCACCATCAAGCAGCGGCCCACCAGCCGGTGCTTCCCCTCCGTCTCAGACATGAACGTGAGTGGTCACCCCCCCACCCCGGCGTCCACACCCGGAGCCCTGATCTGAGCGCACAGGCGGGCACCCCAGTGCTGGGCAGACCGCAGCAGAGGACGGACCTCTCACCGTGGACCCGCTCCCTTGGCACTGAGGGTCCTCCCACAGGACACCTGCAGCAAAGCCAGCCTCCCGGTGGAAGACGCCCAGCCCCACCCTCGTGGCAAGCTGAGTCCCAGCACGCACGGGGGCCCCTGCCTCTCCGAGGTCTCAGGCCCCCGTGAGTCCCAGGGGCCGAGTCCCACCTGGGCAGTGGCGGAGACCACCACGGCCGCCAGCGCTAGCAGAGCCCAGGAGGCTGCTGCTCTCAGGTCCCAGACACGCCCCTCTGCACCCCAGCTTCGAACCTGCGGCCAGAGCTGAGCACTCTCCGTGACACTTAAGTATTTTCTCTGACTCCGCTTCCGGCTGACTCACTCTGTTTAACCTTGCCTTTTCTTCATAATGCCGAGCCGGCACGCCCAGATGGCAAAGAATCTGCCTGCATTGCCGGAGACCTGGGTTCGATCCCTGGGTTGGGAAAATTCCCTGGAGAAGGGAAGGGCAATCCACTCCAGTATTCTTGCCTGGAGAATCCCATGGACAGAGGAGCCTGGCGGGCTACAGGGGGTTGCAGACAGTCAGACACAACTGGGCAACTAACACTTGCACTTTTTTTCACCTTTCTTAATAATACCCATGAGTGGCGTTAATTTGATGTGCCGGTTTTCTGTAATACACGTTAATAGTAACAGGATGTTCACGCTGCCCCCCCATCTCAGGCACTCCGGGGGCGACTGCCCTTCGTGGTAGCCCCACACCCACCCTGTCCCAGAGATTCCAAGCCCAGCACCCGGCAACAGAGCAGAGTCGGCCAGGCGGAGGCCCAGAGCCCTGTGAGGCGGGGTCTCAGAGCAGCAGACCCCTTAAAGCGTGCACCCGGGTGTCCTTTGGGCTCTAATCCATCTGTGCCCTGAGCCACCCTCCAATGCCTCCGGGTGGGGGCCGGCCGGCAACCTCGGCTTTGCAGTCCAGAAGCAGCAGGCAGGGTGGGGGCTGGCCAGGGGGTCTGCTCCCAGTGCAAAGGGGGGGTGTGCCAGGCTCCTCCTGGGCCGGCGAGAAGGGCAGCGCCTCTGCAGGTCCCACACGCTCACTCGCTCTGCACCACGCTTGGCGGGCTCTCCACCGCAGCCACTGCCATCTGCCACCCTTGGAGGCAGACGTGGCCGGGGTCCGATGCCCACCGCCTGATGCACTTTCCTCCAGGACACGTGTCCTGGCCCTTCTCTTCCTCAGTCGACGTCAGGCAGACCTCGGCTCCACCGAGCAGGGTCCACCAGGGTTTTGAGGGCAAGGAGGGCCCCCTTCTGAGTCCTGGATGCTCGGATGCTCCCGGGACAGCTGGGGAGAGCCAGGGGGAAGGGCTCTGTGTCTGCTGGCCGTGGGGGGCTGGTCCGCCACGTCCCACTCGGCTCTCCGGTTTTCAGTCCGTGTACGAACGCCAGGGCATCGCCGTGATGACACCCACCGTCCCCGGGAGCCCGAAGGGCCCGTTCCTGGGCCTCCCTCGAGGTACGATGCGAAGGCAGAAGTCAATAGGTAAGCAGAACAGCCACGCCCACAGAGGGCCCCTCGGTGACCCCACGCCTGCCCACTGGAGGGCACCGTAGGGAGCCCCTGACCCTCTGAAACTTCCCTGCCCTCTGGAGTCCAAATCCAAGGTGACTTCCCACCTCACAAGCCAAGTATCCGTGATGATACCAGCGGGGCGGGGGGGGGTCCACAGTCCAGGGTGGGTGGCGGTGGGCAGGCGAGGTTCACGGGTCCCCTCACCCCCACCCCACGTGGTGAGTGACCAGCAGGGTGGGCCCACACGCCCGTGGACGGCCACTGCCGCGTTCAGGGGTGCGCTCGGCAGACACACTACGTGGGGTCGCTGAGCCGGCTTCTCACTCCCTTGAGAGGACAGTACCGTGGCGGGCGGGGACTGCTGCCTTCTCATTGACATCACATGCTTCCTACTGACTCTGTTCCGAGTGAGGTCAACACGGCCCCTAAACCCAGCCCTTCTGACAGTCCAGCCCGGCCTGTGCCGCGTGAATTCCCAGAGGCCCTGCGGGCCCTGGGCGTTCGGCCCCGCCGCATGTCCAGCACTGGGGCTGCCCCAGCGGCGCCGTGGCCAGTCAGAGGGGGACCGCGGCGGGCAGGACCTGAGCGGTGAGGGACGGCGGAGGTGGCGTCTGCGGGTCCTCAGTCCCCCCTGCCCCTGAGGAGTTCAGGGCGCACACGCCATCTCCTGCCCTGGCTCTGGAACTGGTCAATAACAATCCATTTCCTCCTGTCAGACAGCAGAATCTTTCTATCAGGTTAGTGAACCTTGCGGTTTGGAGTCTGTCACGTGAATGTAATGGTTTCCTCCATAAGGCGTATTTGTAAATCACTCCTTGGGAGGTGCACGGGGCCACGGCTGCGTCCCTGCCGTGCCGGGATGCCCTCCCACGGAGAGCCGTGTGAGATTTGGAATACCCTTATCGAGCAGAAGTTTTCTTTGGGATAAGCTTCCGGAGTCTGTCCTAGGAGCTTTTTTGATTTGAAGTTCTCTGTTCTGTTACCGCTTTGAAAACCCTGCATGGCCCCCCCATGGGATCCGTGTACCTGCTGTCTGTCCACATCTATGTCCTGCTTCCCGGGTCCAGAGTGCGTCCTGTTGATGTTTTTTATATCTTGAACTGTCGGAAGAAACCTGGAAGCCCACCTAAAGGGCACACCAGAGCTCTGGGCCCCAACATGGCCGTCTCCCTCCCCTGTGGGTCCCCAGGACCCTCTCACCCAGCCCCACAGGCTTCATTGGGTCTAGTCGTCCAGTGTGACCATAGTGAGTGGGGACCATGGTGAGCTCCCAGGCCCATCAGCCCAGCCCAGAGGGTCTCAGGACCCAGAGGGGCTGTGTTTGTTCAGGATGCTACTCCTGGGGTCCTGGTTAGAGCGTTGGAGCCACCCAGCCATCTTCCTGGGGGCCCAGGACCCTTGGGGGGGGCCCAGATGAGTCAGGCAACAAAACAGGCCCTTGTTGAGTGGACGAGGCTGCCCCAGGGCCTGCACCCCCGCAGGATGTCAGTGCTGTGATGCCCCCGGGCAACAGCCCTTCCACCTCCGTCAACCAGTACAGCAGCTGGTGTGCCCTTTGTCTCGCTTCCAGTGGGCAGCTCCACAGCCTCAGTCCTAAACCCCAGAATGCCCCCGGGGCACCCTGGCCAGGTCTGAAGGAATAGAAGCCCCTGATCTCAGCTGTCCGCCCCCACACACACACACACACGCACACACACATGCATACGTGCAGTCCCAAGGAGTGGGGCACCCTCACCGCCCCGGATCACACCGTTGCCCTGGGGAACTTGGAGGGCCGCGCCCGGGGAGGCGGGCGGCCCCATGCCCACGCCCTCGTCCCCCAGGTCCGTGGACAGGAAGGCCGGGGAGCTCCTCCTGGCCTCCAGCCACTTCTCCCAGGTTGCAGACGGCCCCAGAGAGACAGGACACCCCGCAGACAGGTGGGCTCAGCAGCACGCACTCTGGGCCTCCTGGCGCCTCTCCATTTTTTGGCTCGGAACGGGCCGCATGACCTCTTGACGTTGTGGCTTGCGTGCTGTGTTCCGTGGACCAATGTGCACCGTGATTCCGTGTGAGTTTGGAGGAGACTTAGCGTGTCACAGCGCCCTCGGAGCGTCGCGGGCAGTGTGTCCTCTCCGCGATGTAAGTCTGAACCTGTCTTCTGCTTGTAGGGATAACGGAGGAGGAGCGTCAGTTTCTGGCCCCGCCCATGCTCAAGTTCACCAGAAGCCTGTCCATGCCGGACACCTCCGAGGACATCCCGCCTCCGCCGCAGTCGGTGCCCCCGTCGCCGCCGCCACCCTCCCCCACCGCCTACAACTGCCCCAAGTCCCCGACCCCGCGGGTCTACGGGACGATCAAGCCCGCCTTCAACCAGAACCCCATCGCCAAGGTGTCCCCGGCCGCCCGCTCCGACACGGTGGCCACCATGGTGCGGGAGAAGGGGCTCTACCACCGGCGGGAGGGCGACCGCTACTCCCTGGACTCCGAGGACCTCTACAGTCGCGGCGCCGGGCCCCAGGCCAGCTTTCGCGGCAAGAGGGGCCAGATGCCCGAGAACCCGTACTCCGAGGTGGGGAAGATCGCCAGCAAAGCCGTGTACGTGCCGGCCAAGCCCGCGCGGCGGAAGGGCATGCTGGTGAAGCAGTCCAACGTGGAGGACAGCCCCGAGAAGACGTGCTCCATCCCCATCCCCACCATCATCGTCAAGGAGCCCTCCACCAGCAGCAGCGGCAAGAGCAGCCAGGGCAGCAGCGTGGAGACCGACCCGCAGGCCCCGGAGCAGCCCGGCCAGCTGCGGCCGGATGACAGTCTGACCGTCAGCAGCCCCTTCGCCGCCGCCATCGCCGGGGCCGTCCGCGACCGCGAGAAGCGGCTGGAGGCCCGGAGGAACTCCCCGGCCTTCCTGTCCACGGACCTGGGGGACGAGGACGTGGGCCTCGGGCCGCCCGCCCCCCGGGCGCGCCCCTCCAAGTTCCCCGAGGAGGGCGGCCTCGGCGAGGAGGACGGCGGGGAGCCGCTGTCGTCACCGGCGCCTCGGGAGCCCGAGAACCACCTTGTGGGTGCGGGCGAGGCCGGAGCTCAGGGTGAGGCTGGCAGGCTGCCGAACGCCCCAGGCCAGGCCAAGGCGCCGGAGGGCAGCCCCGCGGCGCCCCCCCCGGAGCGGCAGCGCGGTGGGCCCTGAGAACTACGTGCACCCGCTCACCGGGCGGCTGTTGGACCCCAGCTCCCCGCTGGCGCTGGCGCTGTCGGCAAGGGACCGGGCCCTGAAGGAGGCGCAGCAGGGCCCCAGAGGGGAGGTCCCCAAGGCCGACCTCAACAAGCCGCTCTACATCGACACTAAAATGCGGCCCAGTGGGGAAGCGGGCTTCCCTCCGGTCGGCAGGCAGGGCGGGCGGGGGCCCCTGCGGCGGCAGGAGACGGAGAACAAGTACGAGAGCGACCCGGGCAAAGACCGCAGGGACGACAAGAAGGGCGTGCTCGTCCACGTCGTGGACGCGTCCCAGCAGAAGTCAGCTGGGCTGCTGATGGTCCACACGGTGGACGCGGCCAGGCCGCAGGACTTCCTGCAGGAAGAGGACGCGAAAGCCGACCCGGAAACGCGGCCAGACCCTCCGCCATCCGAGGCGCCCGAAGGCGCCCCCGAAACCGAAGGTGCTTTCCCGACCGCCGCGGGCCCCGAGCCCACGGCCGCCGCCGCCGCGCCCGGCAGGACCGTCGTAGCGGCGGGCTCCGTAGAGGAGGCGGTGGTCCTGCCGTTCCGCATCCCTCCCCCGCCTCTGGCCTCCGTGGACCTGGACGAGGATTTTATTTTCACAGAGCCATTGCCTCCTCCCCTGGAATTTGCCAATAGTTTTGATATCCCCGATGACCGGGTTGCTTCTGTCCCCGCTCTCTCAGACCTGGTCAAGCAGAAAAAAAATGACACCTCCCAGTCCCCTTCCTTGAACTCCAGCCAGCCAACCAACTCTGCAGACAGTAAGAAGCCGGCTGGTCTCTCAAACTGTCTGCCCACCTCATTCCTGCCGCCCCCTGAAAGCTTTGATGCCGTCACGGACTCCGGGATCGAGGAGGTGGACAGCCGGAGCAGCAGCGACCACCACCTCGAGACGACCAGCACCATCTCCACGGTGTCCAGCATCTCCACCCTGTCCTCCGAGGGTGGGGAGAACGCGGACACCTGTACAGTCTATGCAGACGGGCAAGCCTTTATGGTTGACAAACCCCCAGTACCTCCCAAGCCAAAAATGAAGCCCATAATCCACAAAGGCAACACCCTCTACCACGACGCGCTGCTGGAGGAGGATGTGGACAGCTTCGTGATCCCCCCACCTGCACCTCCGCCGCCACCTGGCGGGGCCCAGCCTGGCTCCACGAAGGTCATCCAGCCAAGGACCTCCAGGTTGTGGGGGGACGTCTCGGAGGTCAAAAGTCCGATTCTCTCAGGCCCAAAGGCGAACGTGATTAGTGAGTTAAACTCAATCCTGCAGCAAATGAACCGAGAGAAATCGGCAAAGCCAGGGGAAGGACTGGACCCGACGCCGGGAACCAAGCCCGCCGGCCTCACCCCCAGGTAAGTGCCCGCGATGGGCGTTCCTCATCCAGCGCTGACCAGGAAGTGCCCCGGGGAGCAGAGGCACTCCCGAAGCGGATCCAGGAGGGCACACCCAGAGCCGGCCGTGTCGGCCTCCGTTCTCCCGGCCTGGACTCTGGTGCCACGGACCCCCACGCAGAGATGGGCCATGAGACCTGGCCACACAAGCCGTCCCCGCTGTGGCTTCGAGGGAGGAGCCCCCCTCTCTCGCCCCCCATCCTCCAGATCCACCAGAACCCCGAAGGGGCCATTCTGGAACCCACCCAGGAGGTTTCAGGGGAGGGGGCACGCTAGCCAGGGGGCACATGGGCAGCGTGCGATCGAGGGTGTGTCGGGGCCTCTGACCCCCTCCCCCCGTCACTACCTGGTCTGGGCTGGGGAGGAGTCGGTTCTGGACCCGCTGCCCCAAGTGAAGGCCCCAGAGCCCACCCTGAGCAGGGCATGCGTCATGGGAGAAGAGCGTGCAGTCGTGCTCACGTGGGCGCTCACAGTGTTGGGACAGAGTGTGAGGTCCTGCCTTCTTGGAACGGGGGACACACACAGGGCCCTGGTCCCAGACCCAAGCCTCGGGGCTCTGCCAGACCCCCACTCGAGCCCATGCTTCCCACTCTCAATCTCTGCGCTCGGTTTCCCTCACCCGAAACACACACCGCTTCCCGGGTCCCCCAGGTGGCATTCTCCTGTCCTCCCGCCGGTGTTTAATCCAGGGTTTCACTGTTGGAACTAACAAGGTCGTTCTTTGTACGCCTACTGGGCAAGGCATTTGACTCAAATACCCAAGTCCATCCATCAGTAATCCTGCAGGACGGTGGGGTCCTGAGAGCTGTGACTTCCCTGCTCTGTTTCGATATGGGTCAACCAAGTCACACGGCCGGATCATGGTCCTCCTCGGAGTGCTAATAGGCCAGCATCCACAGAGAGAAGCATGCCAACCAGCACCGTTTTCAAGGGGGCCCTCATCATAACTGTGGCGTTCAGAGTCCTTCCAGGCTCCCCGATTCCGAGAGACGTGTGGATGCATGCATGCGTTACACATTTGAGGGGCACAAGGAAATGTCATGGAACGGCGCCAGTCTTTAGTTGCTAGGTTATGTGAAAATACAACAATCAAGATGCTTTATCTGTGTTTCACATTTGACAAAGCCCTTGGATGTGGGTGAATAATGTTTCTAACAGCTGCTGGGGAGCAGGTGGTAGTAACCCATTTCTCGGAAGGGGCGATGGAGATGCAGAGAGGCGGGCAGCCTGTACATGGGCACGGGCAGTGGCGGACAGAGCCAGGGCAGGCCAAGGGCTTCTGACCAGCGTGTCCGTCACAGTGACATCCGCGATACGAAGATGTGCAAGTCATCTCCTCTGGGCAGCGTGGGGGGCAGCATGCTCCGCAGGCACTCCCTCCGGAGGCTGGGCCCTCTCTGACTGTGGGCCTCCCTCACCCCTCTCCTGGCTGGGTGAGCTGGTCGGGGCTCACGGCAGAAGGGTCTCAGCAGCAGGCATCCCTGGGGTTGGCCTGGGTGGGAGATGCCTCAGAGCAGAGGTCAGCTGGTAGAGTCCTGATGGACTTGAAGGGTTCAGGCCCTGCCTTGTGATCGACCCGTCTTTGCTATTACTTATAACCCAGTGCACACGGCACAAGCAGTCACTGACATCTACGCACTCCCAGCTGCAGGGCCCCGGGCAGCACAGGCCCAGAGGTGGGGCCTGAACACGTTCCCGGGGTGCAGACAGGAGAACCGGGGTCAGAGGGCGGAGCCCTTGGCCACGAGCCCTCAGCTGGAAGGCATAGTAGCAGACCTCCAGGTCAGGGAGCTGCCTCGGGGTTCCACTTCTCCGCTCTCCTGGAGCCATGAATCAGCCTGGAAGGAGGGTCACCCAGCAGAACGCCCGCAGGCCCGAGCTTACCAGGGCAGGGCTCTCCTGAGGCCTCTGGAGCCCCTCGAGTCCAGTCTTCCGTGCTTATCTGGAGACTGAGACCCTGCAGGGCGGTCCCCAGGCGTCTCTGCACATGGCCCGCCGCCCCCGGGGCAGCAGCCCCTTCCTCCCTGCTCACTGCCAAGGGCTGCAGTGAGTGGGACCAGGAAACTGAGGCCTGGGCTTCAACCAGCCAGGCACCAGAGCCTAGGACCTTCCCAGCCAGGGCGCATCTGCCTGGATGTCTCAGCCCTACTTTTAAGTGCATCTAAAAATTAAGAGCTTGTGTGCGGCCCTGGGCAAAATGAGGCACAAAATTAGATGAAGAGAATTCCTATTGAAGGAAAAGAAATGAGCTTTTCTAGGGAAAAGCTGAAAACCCGCCACGCTCTTTGAAATGATGGACGAGCAGAGGTGCACACTCATTCCCATAGAAACAGCCTGAGCGCCCCAGGGCCACCCCCGGGCGTCTGACCACTGCGAGGGCAGAGACCGGGGCAGATGTGCCCCGCTTTCACCCGTGGTTCCTCCTTCGCGCCCGCTGAGCACCCAGGCCCTTGCTCGCTGGGGTCCAAGACGAACCTGAGCCCTGAGTTTCTGCTGCTGTGATGAGTCCCCAGAAATCAGGGGTGACATGGGCTCTGCCACCGCCCTGACTGCAGACGCGCTGGCGGGAGGCCGAGGCCCGTCCCGCTGCCCCTTGACCCCCACGCAGCTGCGGCTTCTCCCCAGGCCTCGTCCAGAAGCACCCCCTCACCCTTGGGGGGGGCATGCAGGGCTGAAGACAGGGCTCCTCTGGCTGCCCCGGCTGAGCTCCCCAGGAATGATCTCACCTCTAGACAGAGCGTCCACCAAGATCGAAGCAAAGCTCTGCTCAGGCTGGTGCCACCCCTGGGCGAGTCAGCCGCCCTCCAGCTCAGCGCCGGCCCACGCCCCCTTCCAAGGGACGCCCAAGCACCGCCGACACCCCAAGGATGACCTCCCTGCCTGCGCGGCCTGCTCTCGGAACCCTTAGGTACCCCAGACACATGGGCACGCACCCCTCACTTCAGGACACAGGATGAGTTCCTCCAAGTCACAGAGCTGAGAAGCCAGAGGGACGCTCACCTTTGGCCCCGGAGCCACAGCCCAGCCCCGTGACCTCCCAAGGGGCTCTCTGCAGGTCCACAGTCAAGGCGGCCTGGGCCGCCAGGAGCGGATCACCCCATGTATGCCAGGCACTGTGCCAGGCCCCAGGACTCCTCGCTGAACAAGGAAACATCCACGGTCTCTGCCCCTTTGAAGAGCTACATTCTCAAGGGGAAGCAGATATGAAATAAGACGACAAACCCAAAGTGTACAGCGCGAACTACAGAGGGACGAAGATGTCCTAATGAATCATGACCATGGGCAGGGTGGAAGGAAGTGGCGTTTGAACCACCTGAGAGACAGCTGGGCGAAAACCCGGGAGCAGAGCATCCAGGCGCTGGGACCAGCAAGCACGAAGCCGGGGGGCCGGCAGGTGTTCCCCACCTGGAAGAAACTGGCCAGAGCAGAGGGAGGGGCTGAGAGGACGGTCTCAGAGCATCTTACGTGCCGAGGCGGAGGGCTGTGTCTGAGTGGTGGCAGCCCTCGAGGACTTAAGCAAAGGCTTGGCACAACCTGACTTGCGTTTCATGAAGCTGACCAAGCAGCTGTTTGGTCAGCGGGTCACGGTGACGCAGGGAAACCCAGAAGCAGACCCGTGTGCGGTCCCGGGGTCTCCGCTCTGGAGACAGACCCCGGGTAGATGGGAGTTTGACATATGCGCTTTGACCTAAAACAAAGGGCCTTGAGCCAGAAGACCATCATTTTTTTTAAAGCAAGACAGCTCTGCTTTGCCCACCCTCCCACGGGGAGCAGGAGGTCAGTGTGGGTTTGGCTTTCGTTCTCTGGCCGTTGGGAGGAGGATCAGAGCCACAAGTGGATGCTTGCAGGAGATCCCACTGCCTTCCATCCAGGGGGCGCAACATTGGTTGACCCTCCAGGAGCCCCTCTGGATCCCCTCTCTCCTGGGTCCTCTGGAGGAACCCGGGACGGGCCTTCACCTCCTGGAGGTGCCGATGGAGCTCCAGGTCCCCCAGGGCAGGTGGGGTTCAGGCTGCCTGTCGGTGCAGCACTGCCCAGTCCCCAGGGGGTGCCCGCGCTGAGCACCCACACCCACTGCCTGGCCCAGCGGGCACCTCCAGCTCCTTGCTGGGCTCTCGGCAGCATCATCCTGAGAGCCTCTTGGTTTTAAAATAAATCAATTTGGGTTGTTAAAAAATTATCTCTGCCCAGCTGGTCCCAGAGCACAGACTCTGGAACTGACTCGATAATGGGAGCCGCTTACTGGCCCTTTCATCACGGCAGCGCCGTCACGGAGGTTTTCTCATTTCATGGCGGCAACTGAAGCGCTGAGGGAGTGTCAGTGACTGGAATCATGGGTGGTCAGGTGAACGCGCGCCGCCGTGTTCCCTCGTACTCGGTACATAAAGAGGCTGTTCTGGTCCGACTGCAGCAGCTTATCCTTCAAGGGCCATCCGCAATCCAGCCTGGTCAGCAGGACCCCTCAGCCAACGTGTGTCGGGGGTTGGCCACTGCCCCCTGAAGACCGGGAGCATTCTCAACCTGCTCGGGTGTGTCAGACGGGCTGCTGAACCCGAGGCGGCCTCGCGGCCCCCATGTGGCCAAGTCACATAACTTCCTGACTTGGTCTGCCAGCTGCCCACATCCATGTCCCCCGCCTCGGTTCACTCCACAGTTCTCAGCTGGACCCCCATGCGTGCCAGGCCCAGGACGCAGACCCGCCGAGGCCCTTACGGTCACCTTCCCAGTCTTTTTAGCGCCCAACCCTTAGAAACGTTACAAAGACAGAACTTAAACCAGTTTGGAAATCAGCGCCGTTTCACACACACGACAGGGATGCATCACACAAACTCGACAGTGGCCACACGGGACGCAGGGGCCGGCGGGGCGTGCTGGGGAGTCTCTGCAGAGAGGGCTCAGAACTCCGAGACCACCTCGCTGGGCAGCCTCCGGCCCACAGCCAGGCACTGTCCAGGGGCCGAACCGCGTCTATAAACACGATGAAAAGGCCCCTTGAGCCCTGGCTTTCCCCTTCCCCAGGCAACCTGTGCTGACTGATAAAATAACAGCGCATCTCTGAGTGTGTCATTAACTCTTGATTTCTGTTTCAATGCTCATGTTTCCATATGGATTGGATTGAAGAGGCAGGATAGAGAGTAATAATCCAAGAGAGGGCGTGTGTCCGCGAGTGTGTGTGTCTGTGTTTCTAAATCGGGGCAACAGATTCTTGTGTGTTCCACCCGGGAACCCAGCGGTTGCTTAGCAACGAAACGGTCTCCGCAACCGGGAGACCCAGTGAATAATACCCGTCTGATTAACTGAGAGTAAACCAAGCCACCGAGGAGGAGGGCGGGATGGACCACCCCGGGCGACCTCCACGCAGCGCCTCGAACGCTTTGGTGCCTCTCTTCCGTAGCGACGTCCCACGGGGCCGTGGGCAGGCTCCCAGCACAGAGCCAGATCTGACGCCCCCTTTATTAGCTGCCGGCCTCTCAGCCCTCAGTGCGGACTTGACACAAAGCCCGGCCTGCCTGAGCGGGCGTGCGGAGGATTGCTGCCTCCTAGGCTGCAGAAGACAAAGGGCAGCCGGGAGCCCGGGTCTGGGTGCCAGCGGGAAGCTGGCTCCCAGGCCCGCACGGGGAGGCCGACGACCCCCTCAGCATCCTCCTGGTCTCGGTCTGTGCTCACTCCCCCGGCCACGCAGGGCAGACGCGTGAGCTTCCCCCGCCGAACACGCAGAGTCAGGCCCCTCTGGCATTCTCTTCCAGGCAGCTGCGTGCACTGCCCACCCCACTCTGCAGCCAAAGAGGGCCCAGGATCCGGGCCTCCGCCTTCATCTCGTCCGAGAGAAGCTGCTTTTTTTAATTGTCATTAATTTTGCAGTGTTGTCTCAACCCGCTCCCTCCTGTTTCCATCTGCTCCCGTGATGGGTGGTAACAGAAGAGGGTCGTGCTGAAGAGACGTAGGTGCCGCGTGCAGAGCCCCCGTCTCTCTGGCGTGCTGTCCTGTCCCTCGGTCTCACTACCCACCGTGGTCTGCTTCTGACGCCGCACCCGGCTGCCTGCAGGGCCCTCTTTCTAAAGGGCATCCCAGCTACCTGGGAAGCGCTGGGGTGTTCCCCAGGGCGCGGTGGTGCTCACGCCCACCCTCTGGGCTCAGAGAGACCCACGGGTAAGTGCGGCCTGGGTCTAAAGAGCTGCTGTCACGGGGGGATTAACCTGCCTCCACGTCACAAAGCCAGCGAGCAAGGCCACCTCCCGACGGGACAGCCCGGCAGGTGGGCCCGGTCAGGGCCGCAGGGGGCACGGTGCGCTCCTGAGAGACGCCCACCCACTGCGTGGAAGGCCGTCTGCACCCAGAAGGCCCTCTGCGCCCGGAAGGCCCTCTGCGCCCAGAAGGCCCTCTGCACGGAAGGTCCCTCTGTGCCCGGAAGGCCCTCTGTGCCCAGAAGGTCCCTCTGTCCATGGAAGGCTCTCTGTCCACAGAAGGCCCTCTGTGCCCGGAATGTCCCTCTGTGCCCGGAAGGTCCCTCTGCGCCTGGAAGGCCCTCTGCGTCCGGAAGGTCCCTCTGTCCATGGAAGGCTCTCTGTCCACAGAAGGCCCTCTGCGCCCGGAAGGTCCCTCCGCCCGGAAGGCCCCTCTGGGTGGAGCGGCCCCACCCCCGCTCGGGTCCCTCCAGCTGCCTGGCTGCCATCAGTGGTTGCAGTGAGCCTCCCCCAGCAGAGGGGAGACGGGCCCCCTCAGTGGGGACTGCAGTGCATCTTCGGTCCGACCTGGGCCCCAGAATCTGCAGGCTTCTTAAATCCTTGCTGTGTGCATGGCACACCTCTTTCCCCTTGACCGGGGTCAGGGGGTGGGGCTCTCCCGCTCCCTGCCTGTGACGCCCTGGACCAGCAGGGCTCCCATTTCTTCATCCTGAATGGGGGGTCATCCTCAGAGGCCGCCTGGGGCTGCCCTGCCCTGCCAGCACCAGTGCAGCCAGTAACCAAGGCCCCTGGAGGTTCTCAACGGGGTGTCTCCTATGTGCAGCATCCAGTCCTGGAGCCCCTGGCCCTCCAGGAAACCACACGGGAAGCCCTGGGGGTGGATCGGGGTCCCGGCCGCAGGCATCCCCCAGGCCAAGGAAATGCTTCTCCCAGGACAGGATCAGAGCCCGAGTCTGACACAGGCCCCTCCTTCAGACCACGTGCAGGCTCCACGCTTGACCCAGCGCCCAGTGGGGAAGGGCCAGGAGGCTGAGGCTTCCTGTAACCCACCCACCACCTCTCTCACACACACACGGCAGAGAACAGACAGCCGCACAGCCTCAGAACAGGGCGCAGGCAGGCTGGGCTCCGACCCCGACCGTTTCATCGGATGGGGCAGCGCCCACGACCGCCTCCAGGAGCCGCGGGGCGTCCCACTCTGAAGCGGCCAGCCTGCAAGGCGCCCTTCCCCGCCCTTTTCCTGTGAAGCCAGAAAGCCTCGGGTCTGACAGGCGATGAGGAGGAAGGGTCTCCTAACGGGTGCCCTTCCTTGAAGTGGAGGCAAACGCCGCTGCTCCTCGGGCAGCATGGTGACGCAGCAGGACTGGGCCCTGGCCACCCGGCTCCTCTGTGCCCACCCGCCCCTGGTCTGGCAAGGTGTGTGCTCTCTGCCGGCACGCTGGCCGTCAGACGCCCTGCTGTGGTTTCGGTGGCTCCCTCTCCCCCCAGAGACCACGTCCTCATCTGCTTTGTGATCGGACTTGTAATGGTTTTCTCTGTTGCTGCCGTTTCAGAGGCCCCGAGGTCATGAGCACCGTCTCAGGAACGCGGAGCACAACGGTCACCTTCACCGTTCGCCCTGGGACCTCCCAGCCCATCACCCTGCAGAGCCGGCCCCCGGACTACGAGAGCAGGAACTCAGGACCCAGACGCGCCCCCAGCCCTGTGGTCTCGCCAACAGAGCTGAGCAAAGAGGTCCTGCCCACCCCCCTGCCTGCCGCCACTGCGGCCCCCTCACCCACCCTCTCGGATGTCTTCAGCCTTCCGAGCCAGCCCCCGCCCGGGGACCTGTTTGGCTTGAACCCAGCGGGACGCAGCAGGTCGCCGTCCCCCTCCATCCTGCAACAGCCAATCTCCAATAAGCCTTTTACAACTAAGCCTGTCCACCTGTGGACTAAACCCGATGTGGCAGACTGGCTGGAAAGTCTAAACCTGGGTGAACATAAAGAGGCCTTCATGGACAATGAGATCGACGGCAGCCACCTCCCAAACCTCCAGAAAGAAGACCTCATAGATCTGGGCGTGACTCGAGTCGGGCACAGAATGAACATAGAAAGGGCTCTCAAACAGCTGCTGGACAGATAAGGGTGGCTGCTCCTTTCCGCCACAGACTCCTTGTTATAAATAGAGATGGGCTTGCACTGAGATGTTTGGATGGTGAGCGCCAACCCCGTTCCGTGGGCTGGTCTCCTGGGGACCCAGAGAAGCGTGTGTGTCCGCGGCGTGGCTGAGCCGAGGCCTTCCAGCCCCGGCTTTCTGTGTGGGCTCCTTTGGGCTGTTTCTGTCAAAGAGGGGACCGGGGAGGGGTCCTTCCGAGGTGGAGAGGGACGCGTGCGCAGCCTGCCTCCTGTGCGCAGGCGACCTTGCCTCGCCCAGCCCAGGAGCTGCTTGGCCCGTGCGGGCGCCGTGCTCCAGCAGGCAGGCGCCCCTGCACTCTAGACACATACCTCCCGCGGCCTCCCTGTGCGCCTGGCGGCCCGCGGCCCAGCGCCAGGGCCCTCCTTTGTCTGCGGCCTCTCGAGGGCACGCTGTGCTCACGCGCTCCTTTTCTTTCCTGGACGTGGCTCGCAGCGAGACGCCCACCGACGCGCATACCCGGTGCCCTTCCTGGAAGGTGGAGAAGCGTCTCCCCTCCTCTGCGGATCCTTTCCCGCCCCTCCAACGTGCACCCGTGCTTCTCTGGCCCGTTGAGGCTCTTGGCAGTGATGGGCTGTTCTGAATGGGATCGTGCCCAGCTTTGCTTAGCTTTCCTTCTTTCTGCAAGTCTGTTAGCATAATTCCAAAGTGGCCAAACAGATGTCACGTGGAGTTAGTCGAAGCACAAAGTCACGATTCCAGGCGGAGGGAGGCCCGGCTGCCCGCGCACGGCTCCAGGGCCAGCGTGTCCCCGGGCGGAAGCAGCTGTCAGCCGGGAGCGGCTGTCCAGAAGCGTGGGAAGGGGCTTCTCTGCCTTTCAGCATTCTTTAAATTGAAAGGTGTGTTGAATTCTGCAGACCTCAGAGCAGGTGAGCGTCCACTGACACGCGGGACGACACAAGGTCCGCGGTGAGCATGGCTGCTGCTGGGTGCTGGGGGGGCCCTGGCCCCCTCCAGCTCGGAGCCCCGCCGAGGGCAAGCATCACTGCTGAGACAGCCCTTTCGTCCTCTGAGGCCAGGGAAGACGGTACCGAGGGGCCTTCCCCCTTTTCCTCTGAGTGTCCAGAAACCCCACCAGCTTGTCTTAATAGTACAACAGGTTTTCAGAAAACCCCGTGGGCGTGGCACACAGACAGGACCCAGGGTGAGGGTGCAAAGCAGAGAGACGAAGGAAGGACAGAGCAGGGAGGTCTGGTGGGCGGCAGTCTGGCCTCCGGCAAGGCTTTCCTGGGCCTTGCGCCCTTCATTCCCCCAGAACGCCCTTCCTTGTGACAATACCTCTGATCTCCACGGGGGTCGCCACCGGCACCCGAGTCTCAGAACACCCAGTCAGGAGTCAGCACGTCCTCCCACATGTGGAAGAATGTCAAGTTTTTGGCTTTTATTATGATTTCAGAACTAGCCTAGCCCATCTCTAATTATAAAAACATGATTTTTTTTTTCCTTTTTTTCTTTATGCTCACAATCAAGTGTCTGGTTAGGTCTGGAACAGCTCTAGAATGAACACGTAAAATTTAGCAATTTAAAATCTTTCTTTACTGCAAGTTTAAATAGTTGTACAGATAGTTTATAAGCACAATATTTTAAGGAAAAAAAAGTGGCTGGTCTACTAGGCAGCCTTTGTGCCACTTCAGTGCTAGAAAGTTAAAAGAAAAACAAACTTTTGTGATTTAATACTACTATTTCTGTGGAATAATTATAAAAGTATGACCTTTTTAAATCAACCTTATTGGATGCATCTGAACCAGCAGAGCTGTGTTATATTTTCTATCTTTGCTAGAACTTCGTCATCGAAGGACAATTATTTCTTCAAAAGTGGTTGTAATTCACAATGCAGAAGTTTTCTGCAAAAACAAACACACTCACCACACACACAATTTTTCCAGCCAATGTCCCTGAATTGGAAATTGAGTTTTGGACCTTCTGTTCCAAAACCTATTGCAGGTCAATCTTGGTATCTGAACAAAATCAATTTAATATTAAGGTGTTTTACTTCCATGTACTTTCGATTTTTCCATCATGAGATGACTATAACCCCAGAGAAGTTTCAAGCCAAGATACTGCGGGTGGCCTGCTAAGGCCGCCGGCAGTTCGGAAAGTGAGCGATGGTGATTTGGCCCTCACCTGTCTCCCGTCTGGTGATGCTGTGAAACCCAGTGAGCACAGCACCCCGCCAGGCTCGCTTCTCCTTTGCCTGCTGCCGGTCTCACCTCTCTGCTCAGGGCCAGGGAACATGCTAGACAGGATGGGAGTGAAAGAGCCCCAGGCAGACGGTGACCAACAGCAACGTGGGGCGTTAGGGTTACTGAACTTGAGTAGCCAGGAGGTGAGGCTTGGCTGCTACTCCCTTTCTTAGAGAGACTTCCAAGTCACATGCAACTGACCAGAAGCAAGCAAAGCTGACAACACTGGCGGTTCACACTGTCTCACTATAGAGAAGCAACAGGCCATCAGAACCTGCACTGACCAACAAAATAAACACGTTGCCAAGATGAATCGGTCTCTAGCTCTCTCCACCGGTTTTGCTACAGAAAGCAATAGTTCCTCATTTGACCCACCGCCCACTGTTCTCCCCCTTGAGACATGTCAGGACCAGGCCCTACCCCACGCCCCTCTTCAACAATGAAACAGATGTTCAACTGCTCATATAAAGATTATGTTAATACTTATTCCAGGTTTTAAAAAGATCCACTTTTGTTATATACTGTAATTTAAATAAATTGCATTTACATGCCTAGTTTCTGTAATATTGTGTATACAAAACCAAAATTGCTCAAGATGTAAATTATGTATACCTGCCAAGATACCTTCTCCAGGGTGTCTGTGCACATTTTAAGTTAATCCATAATATAAAAATGACTCAATGTGACTGTTGATTTGCTGAACTTTACATATCACAAAGTGAATCACTTGTGATACTTTAGTTAATAAAATGGTGATTTTTTTTGTTTGTTTCTGAGTTATTTAACAAGCAAGCATTACCCAGGGTGATCGGGCAATGACTTTTTGTGTGTGGACCACAAATATTGGTTTCTCCCATTAACAAAATTTTTGTTTTTTTAGAAACTAGTATGTTTCACACTATAGTTTGTGTAACATGTGTTCGCATTATCTATGTTTCTGTTACTTTGTGCTTTTATTCTTTTTAGACCTTATTAAAAACATAAAGAGAAAAAAACAAGCTCCTGTAATTTGCACTTTCTCCCAATTCTTAAAATCTCTTGTATGGCAACCAAAATTACTGTAAAAAAATAATAATAATAAATATACTATTGCACTAAGGTTGTGGTTCTGATTGCAAACAGTGAGGACTTTCTGAATTAAAAAGTTGCCAAGCTTACAATCCAGCCACTTGACCTCTACGACACTGACCAGATAATATCTGCCCAAAGAGTGAAAATTCTTTCAGTGAGCTCCTCTGCCTCGGTTCCATCTCCTGCAAGTTTTCTCAGCATAGTGGAAAGGAGCATTATTTTAGAACTGCGGACGTCTGTGAGCACCGCTGTGAGGGAGCTGAGGCCGGGCTCTCCTTTGTCTGGGACGGAAGCAGAAGGGCGTGGCGGGCGGGCCAGGTGCAGACCTCGCTCCTCAGAGCAGAGGATCCTGCACACCCAGAGCGAGCTGTCTCCTTGCGGCTGGGCACGCCGGCTGGGCAGCCTCTCTGGCTGACGCAGAGCCAACCATGCTTTCGTGAACAAATGTGCACTAGGGCTTGGGGCAAGAGAATGTGTCTTCTGGCAAAGAACTGAGCCAAGAAGACATGGGCTATTCCTTCCACTGTAGGGAAGAGTATTTTAAACTTAAATGTTGAACCTCTTCTTGGGCCTCATCAGTGAAAACTCACGGTCTTTAGTTCCGGAGCAGTTTCTTCTACTTTGGCACATCCTCCCCTTGAACAGCCGCCACTGTTTCTATGTTCATGACGAGTTCTCAGCCTCACATCTCCTGTGGTTTACGCTCCCCGAGGTCCAACTGCTACACCACCCAATGGCCCCTCCCCGATCTTCACCGCCCCCCAGCCCCACTGTCCAGTGGCTTCCTCCAGATGAATGTATCCGTCTGTCTTGTTAAGGAAAAAATAGATACTGGAAGACTTTTTCCGTCTATTTGTACTTTACCTGAGGCATTTTAATAATCAGTAAACTGGGACGTCTTGTGTATTTGTAGTGATCTGTGTACACGCGCAACAAGGTGTCAGTCCCACAGCGGCCAGGTGTCCAGGCAGCCGCATGCAGATGGGCCTGCCCCTGCTTGGTGGGCAAGTGGGCGGTTCCAGACCGGTTTCTCAGACTTCAGCAGAGCCGATCACTTCAGTTTTTAATCCGCGCTGTACCAGTGCTTTTGTTTCTTTACTGTTCCTGTAACATGTTTCTGCAGTTCAGAGTCTTTACCGTGTTATGTTTAAAATTACAACAGTCACTGTCCATTGCTTCTCCTCTGGAACTCTCTGTTTATAGCAATTCTGAAATTTTACTATGAGCCTTCAAATAAATACAGAAACAAAAAAGAGGAAAACAAGTAAAGTGTGTGCCTTGGGTGTTTTCAACCTGATCTGCATAAAACCATACTGTATTCAAATGCTGTATATTTAATGAGAGGGTAAATACACCTTCAATGTATTAATGTAGCTGATAAAATAGTTACAGTGCCTTGGTTTCTGAACTGAGAAGCCCCTGTCAATGCACAACGACAAGTGAAAAAACGACTCAAGAAATGAAATGTTGAGAAGACCTGGACATGATTCTGGAGCCTTTCTCATCATGAGACTGTGGAATATGCACAGTCATTTAAGTTAAAAATAAACATAAAATTGAAATAAGACTGTGTTATCAATTAATTTTCCTTTAAAAGTGCTCTCTGCTATACTACTTTCAGTATTTTCATTTAGTAAAAACAGAAAAACATGGTTGAGAATTTGCAAGAAGAAAAGGACATCTTTCAGACCTACTTCCCCAGGTTGTGTCGCCCCCCAGTGGTCCTTGTTGGTAATGCTTATCCAGTCAGCAGCACCTATCCATTATCTCCACATTTTGTTTAAAAAAAAAAAAAAGCTTATTTTTAATGATTGAAGCCACTCATCACAGAACTACTTCCATTTTTTGTAAGCTACAGGCATGGCAACACACAGTCTGTTTTTTAAAAAGTGTGAGAAGTCATCAGACTATTCTCAAGGCCAAGGTCTCTCTCCACTTACTCAGTTAAAACATCAAGCTCCCCAGCACAGCCTCAGTCATCTTGGAAGATAGGTCTGAGGTGCAGAAAGCGTGTTAGGAACCGCCGCCCTCCTGGGACTAGACTAATCCCAGCAAGAGTGGAAGTCCACAGGGCTTCCACCAGGTCAGAGCAGCAGCCCCATCTTCAGGGACCCTCAGCAAGCAGACCAGACCCTCCCGGAGGCAAGGCAGATGCCACCTGCTGGGTCCACAGCCCGTCTCTGGGTCCTTCTGCCACGTGTCTGGGCTTTTTCACCTGATAAGATTATCAGCCGTGCTATTACCAGGCCAAGGCCCACCAGATATGCAGATTTTTCATTTCAATCCACAGATACAGCCCACATCTGGGAATCTGAAGGGGGTGGTCAGGGATGACAGCCAGGCTTCTTGAGTGGTGAAACTGCACACACCACTGCGGCCTCTGCTGGAGGTGTGCAGGAGTCCAAGAACCAAGGGGGCGAGCCAGAGGCCATGGCCGTGGGGCAGGGTGGGCGGGCAGGCAGGCCCTAGTGGGCCCTATGTGAGACGGACCCCGGGAAACGGCCAGGTGAGCAAGACAGTGGAGGACATCTGACCACTCACCTGCACCTGGTGGTCTGCAACCTGTCCCGACACCTCAAGTCCTCCTGCCGCCGCCCACTCAAAGAGTCTTCTGTACCAAGGGGCTTAAATAGAAATTAAATGTGTTCTTCAAACCCCAGAATTCAAGAGAGCAGCAGGGGAACACAGTCCCGGAAGCTCCAGGAAAAGAAACCACAGCACAAGGCGGAAATCAGTGATTCCCAGGCACGGTCCTGAGAGGTAGTGTAGCTCAGCCGCCTGGAAACAAGAGTCAATCTCTCTGCGCCAGGCACCACTCAGAGCGCCGCCCGCAGTGAGTGTCTCACGGCGCTGAGACAGGAACGAACAGCCCCATTCCACAGATGAGGAGAGTCTCACCAAGGTCCACAGTGAGCACAGGAAGCTAGAGCTTCCTCAGCCAAGGCCAGTTGTAGGAGAGAACCCAAGAAGCACTGCTGGTGCCAGGAGCCACCCCTGACACATCGCTCTGCTCCCCTC